TTGCTCGGTATATACTGCTTGAATGACAGTCTACCTTTGAACAAAATCAAAGACTCGTCAATTACAAGATTCTTGAATGGATAAAAGTATATGCTGAACTTTTGTTTGAGATACATGAAAACATTTCTAATCTTGTATAACCTGTCACTTCTGTCAGGCCTGGTTTTGTCAGAGAAGTGCAACATACGTAAGAGTAAGATAAACCTGTTCACTGGTATGATTTCACTGAAGACCGGGGTAGAAATTAGCCGATCTGTGGACCAGTATGCTTTTATATTATGCTTATAGATGTGAGGCGTAAGCATTATTGTTGCAAAAAGCAAATACATTTCTGCAACAGTCGTCCCTTTCCACCTGTGTAGTCTTGACTGTGGTGATAAGATCATATTTGCCATGGTGTACTCAAAATACTTATTACTTCCCCTGACAATAATTTCCATCAATGGCTGGTCAAAGAATAATTCAAAGAATTCCAGTTCATTGGCCGTGGTTCCAAGGGGACAAGTAGGTAGAATTCCACTTTGAGAATCATCAAAGTGGTGAGGCTTGGGAACAAAATTGGGATTTTGCTGCCAATCCCACATACGGTTTGCTGGTGGATACTGGACATCATAGGCTGGTTGTGCGGATGGTTGTGGTTGTGGTGGGCTGGTGGCTGGCGCTCCGCTTTGTCCTTGAACTGACGAGTCAGCAGCGTGGGTCCCAGCGTGGCCTCGTGAGTCACGCATGGCGGTGCCACTACCATCACCACTAACACCATCCACTGATGCCTGTGGTCTATCCATGCCAAGTGTAGCCACATCATCCTCACTGTCACTACCTAAAACTGGTGTTGGGCCACGGGATGTACTCCGGGTTGTACTCCATCCCCTGGGCACAGCATAGGGTACACTACCCGAGCACATGCGGCGGCGAACATACCGACGCTTCACTGGTGAATATGATTCCTCACTATCACTACTCGATTGATCGTCGAGCGCAATAAAATCTCAGTCCACGTCACTATCATCATCATTACTGAAGTCTGAGGCCTGGCCACACGAAAATATTAGTTTTCTCTTTGCGATGAGGAACAACCGACCGTGAGTCACGAGTGCCCACACCAGAGGTAGAAGGTTGAGGATCGTCAGGGTTTTCTGCACTATTATCGATATCCTGGTCTTTCTTTTCGGTCACTAACTGATCAAAGCCGTAGAATTCGTCTTCATTTCCACTTCCATCAGTGTCAGAACTATCAGATAGGAAGAGGAGAGTCCCAATTTTCCGGGGAGTGAGAGCTGACTTGCGACGAGGCATGGTGAACAAGGGTAACTGAGCCGGCGTTCCCACAATGCTATGCGGGCGCCTAGATTTTTTGTTTATGGCGCACATCCACCACGCAGACCCGTTCTCTCACATGTAGGCCTATTAGCGTTTTTGCGCTAAATTTGACGGCGCTAGAATTTTGGCGTTGATCTACTGTTTGGACACTCAACGTAAAGCCGTTGATCAACGGGACAGACCCTGAAAGGGTTAAGGTCAAGTTTTTGCCTCCTAATACCACTCCTCTCCTGCAGCCCATGGACCAGCAGGTCATTTCCAACTTCAAGAAACTGTACACAAAAGCTATGTTTGAATTGTGCTTTGTAGTGACCTCAGAAACTCAATTGACTCTAAGAGAGTTTTGGAGTGATCACTGTAGCATCATTAATTGTGCAAACATTATAGGTAAGGCTTGGGAGGAAGTGACTAAGAGGACCTTGAACTCTGCTTGGAAGAAACTGTGGCCAGAATGTGTAGACAAAAGGGATTTTGAAGGGTTTGAGGCTAACCCTGGGAATCCTATGCCACTTGAGGAATCCATTGTGGTATTGGGGAAGTCCTTAGGGTTGGAGGTTAGTGGAGAGGATGTGTAAGTTGGTGGAGGAGGACAATGAAGAACTAACCACTGATGAGCTGCTAGATCATCTTCAACAGCAAGAGGCCACACCTGAGGAAACTGCTTTGGAGGAGGGGATAGAGAAATTGAGGAACTTGCCTACTTCAAAGATTAAGGAAATGTGTGCAATGTGGCTTAAAGTGCAAACCTTTTTTGATGAAAATCACCCTCATACAGCTATTGCAAGCGGTGCTGGTGACTATTACACTGACAATGTTGTGAAACACTTTAGGAATGTCATAAAGGAACGGGAGGTACAGGCCTCTATGGACAGATATGTTGTGCGACAGAGGTCCAGTGACTCTCAAGCTGGTCCTAGTGGCATTAAAGGAAGAAGGGAAGTAACCCCGGAAAAGGACTTAACCCCTCAAGTCATAATGGGAGTGGATTCCCCTTCTAAACACTAAGACAATCCACACTCTCCCCTCTTCCCATCCCATCAGTCATCACCAGATCTTCAATAAAGGTAAGTGTCATGTAACTGTACATGTCTTCTTCAGTTTGTGTGTATTAAAATTAATATTTCATGTGGTAAAAAATTTTTTTTTTCATACTTTGGGGTGTCAGGAACTGATTAATTTGATTTCCATTATTTCTTATGGGGAAAATTAATTCGCCTAACGATAATTTTGCCTAACGTTGAGCTCTCAGGAACTGATTAACCCTTTGACTGTTTCAGGCCCCTCTCTGAAACTGTCATTCTATGTCGCTCAATTTTTGAAAAAAAAAAATTATTTTTTCTTATGAAATGATAGAGAATCTTTTCCCGATGGTAATGACACCAAAAGTTCGAAATTTGGTCGAAAACTCATGGAATTATGCTCCCGCGAAGTTAGCGGTCTCGGCGACATATGCGTATCGGCGATTTCGCCGACTTTTAGCCCTATTTTCAGCCAATTCCATTGTTCCAGTTGACTAAACTCATAGCTATTTCTTTAGAACTCCATTTTATCTATCAGCTGAGTACAAGAAACCTCCCATTTACTAATTTGGACTACCCAATATGGTGGTCAGAAATTGGCAATTTGGCTAATTTCATGCAAACTAAAAAAGATGCCAATTTCAAAATAGGGTCCAGAATAAACAAGGTAGACATTCGTGGCACTAAAATAACATATGCTCTGTTCATTAGTCATATCTCTAGGCCCCTCTTATATTATTATTGCTTTCTATTTTTATTTTTTATTCACACAAAAAAATACAAAATTTACTGTTATGCAGACTACTGCATTATTGTAAAAATGGTATAAATAATATCAGTGTACTAGTGAAAGAATATTAGACTCCCCAGTTAACGTGTATTGGACGTGTGGTGTGATTTATTTACTCCTGAACATTGGTAAAAATCAAACATTTCCGCTACTTTGAGCTCAGTTTCAAGGTCGTTTTCATTGTCAAAGTAATAAAAATCATCTCTATTTCTGTAATATTTTTCCATTTTATCACCTAAGACCATGAAAATGCGAATACAACGATAAATACTATACGAAAATACACCTCAAAGTCGGCGTTTTATTCCAAAAAAACAATCAGTTTTTTTTTCTCATTATGCAATGTGTGCTGCAGGATTTTTTTATGTGGTGCACACTGACCATACAGACCCATTCTCTCACATGTGGGCCTACCAGCTTTCTCCCGTTTGATTTGAAGCCGCTAGAATTATTGAGTATATATACGTCAGAAACATTGGCTCGTAAGACGTATTTATACGTCGAAAACAGTCAAAGGGTTAATAGCGTTAGGTGAGGGTCCACTGTATTTAGTTGTAGATACAGTGGAAGAGGTAGATGGTGTTCAAGAAAGTCATCATTGATTAAGAGAGAAGTGAAAGTTAATATATATTAAAGGAGGATAAGGAAGTTAGGGTAATATATGAAAAACTGTTGTGAAAATAATGAGCTAATGAGAGTATTGATAATGAATAGGAGGTTGAGGATGCATGTATCACTGGAAAAAGAATATCCATCTCTCAGTTTTAGAGCTGTTAAGTGTTTGGTCGTATTTTCGAAAGTTTATTTGTGTGAGAAAACTTTTTCAGCCATGTCAGTGATAAAAACCAAACAAAGAAACTGAATGGATGTCAGTGCCTCACTTGGTCTGTCAGAAACAATGCTAGAGCCATGGCTGGAGCTGCAGTTATTAAATATTCTTGGAAAGAAGCAGCAGCAGAGGTCCCACTAATTTTACTTGAATTAAATTATAATAAAAATTTGAATTAAATATTGCCTTTTCAAAAGTTCAAGACGTTCTATTATTAAATATTATTAGTATTTTTGCTTACTGTTTGGTTTCTGGTTGTTTTAAGTAACTATTGAATTTTTATTTTATATTATTATATTTTCTAGGTAGTAGGTTGGTAGACAGCAACCGCCCAGGGAGGTACTACCGTTCTGCCAAGTGAGTGCAAAACGAAAGCCTGTAATTGTTTTACATGATGGTAGGATTCCTGGTGTCCTTTTTTCTGTCTCATGAACATGCAAGATTTCAGGTATGTCTTGCTACTTCTACTTACACGTAGGTCACACTACACATACATGTACAAGCATATATATACACACCCCTCTGGGTTTCCTTCTATTTTCTTTCTAGTTCTTGTTCTTGTTTATTTCCTCTTATCTCCATGGGGAAGTGGAACAGAATTCTTCCTCCGTAAGCCATGCGTGTCGTAAGAGGCGACTAAAATGCCGGGAGCAAGGGGCTAGTAACCCCTTCTCCTGTATATATTACTAAATGTAAAAGGAGAAACTTCCGTTTTTCCTTTTGGGCCACCCCGCCTTGGTGGGATACGGCCGGTGTGTTCAAAGAAAGATTATTATATTTAAAACTAATACACAAATAAAAAAATAATACTATACTGTTATATATTATATAAATAATGGTTTTTATATCTGCCTTAGCAATCCACGAAATATTTCTCCTATTTTTACCTGTCTGCAGGTGTCAAAACGTTGAAAAAACTGTTTTAAACCATACAAATCGCTATGAATCAGTTGTGAGTTGTTGTAGCTGTGGTATTGTGACTACAGCCAACATACTGTACTTGATGTAATTCAATATGTGACATGCTTTCTTGTACTGGCAGGTGATCCAGACGATGGTGCTTGTTCCATCACTGTCCAAGGTGCTGGTTGTGTGGAACAACCAGAAGAAAGCCCCTCCCCAAGGTGAGTCCTCACTGTCAACACCTTTGTTTCTCACCACTCTGGCTCTTTCCCATTAACCCTTTGAGGGTCCATCCTGTAGTTCTACGGATTTGAAGCCTGGGTCCAAGCCATAGTTCTATCCCATGAGCTCAGCTCACTCAGATAAGCTGTGAACTGTAAATTTGGGCCTAGATATGAGAGAATTCATTTATGTGGTAAATATGCACCATATAAGACAAATCTTGCAGCACACAGTGCTTAATGAGAAAAAAAAATGAAACTATGTTTTGGGATTATAACAGCGTCTTTGCAGTATATTTTCTCATGTTTTATATGATTGTATTCGTGATTTCTTGATCTCATTTGATAGAATGGAAAATATGTTACAGAAATGGAAATGATTTTGATTGGTTTTATTATTGAAAATGGCTTGAAATTGAGCTCAGAGTAGCAGAAATGTTCAATTTTTGGTAATATTCAGTAGTAAATAAATGACGTCACACGTCCAATACACATCAGCTGGTGGGTCTGATGTGTGTTCACAAATTTGCTGATATTATTTATACAATTATTACAATATTGCATAAAAGTAAATCTTCTATTATTTGTTGTGAATAGAAATTAAGTATGTGAATAAGAAATCGAAATGGCATTCATTTGTAAAGACTGGAAATGTAACCAATATACAGAGGAAATATTATTCTATGCCAGGAATGCCTGCATTGTTTTTTCTGGACCCTATTTTTAAAATGGAATACTTTAGACATTAGTGTGAAATTGACCAAATTACCAATTTCTGATCACTTTATTGGGTAGTTGTGATAGTTGATTGGGCGATTTCTTGTGCTCAGTCAATAAAATGGAATACTAGCGAAATAGCTTAGAATTTGTTTGACTGGAGAATGTTATTTTGCCTAAAATGGGAGTCAAAGTGGGCAAAATCACCAATGCGTAAATATCGCTGAGGCAGCAAAGTTTGCGGGAGCATAATTTCGTCAGTTTTCCATCAAATTTTGAACTTTTTGTTGTATTACCTTCAGAAAAAGATTCTCTACCATTCCATAAGAAAAAATAACAAATTTGTTTGAAAATACTTGGACCCTGTGGACAAGTTTCAGATCGGGGGTCTGGACCCTGTGGACAAGTTTCAGATCGGGTGTCTGGACCCTGTGGATAAGTTTCAGATCGGGGGTGTAGACCCTGAAGGGTTAAAGTAGTGTGCCTTAAAGTGGAAAACATACTCGCTCTAGGGTCACATTAACCATCACTTCTTAGCAGTCTTGCCAGAAATACAATCATGGTAAAACAAGATAAGATTTTTAACCCATGAAAGGGTTAGGCACCCAGGATAACCCAGGGGAGGGTTAACCACCCAGGATAACCCAGGGGAGGGTTAGCCACCCAGGATAACCCAGGGAAGGGTTAGCCACCCAGGATAACCCAGGGGAGGGTTAGCCACCCAGGATAACCCAGGAGAGGGTTAGCCACCAAGGATATCCCAGGAGAGGGTTAGCCACCCAGGGTAGCCCAGGAGAGGGTTAGCCACCCAGGATAACCCAGGGGAGGGTTAGCCACCCAGGATAACCCAGGGGAGGTTTAGCCACCCAGGATATCCCAGGAGAGGGTTAGCCACCCAGGATAATGAAGAAAGTCAGTGTGTCATTTTAATCTTAACCCCCAGGATGCCACCCATAGTAATCCACTAACACCCAGGTACCTACTTACTGCTAGGTAAACAGTGACAACAGGTGTACGGTGACTATTACCCAGATACCTGCTTACTGCTAGGTGAACAGTGACAGCAGGTGTAAGGTGACTAACACCCAAGTACCTACTTACTGCTAGGTGAACAGGAACAGCAAGTGTAAAGGACCATGCCTGTTTCCACCCATGCCGGGTTTTGAACCACGGACACTCGATGTGCGAGAAACATGCCTGTTTTCACTCATGCCGGGGATCAAACCACGGACACTCAGTGTGTGAGAGGTGAGTGCATTGGCAACCAGACCACAGGACACCAAAGAAGGAAACTTATTCAGCATCACTTCAGCAGTCTTGCCAGAAATACAATGATGGTAGGTGACCCAAACAGAGTAACTCATTGACTGAAACTTGCTCCTTTATTGTTTCTGTATTTTTTTTTTTCAACAAGTCGGCCGTCTCCCACCGAGGCAGGGTGACCCAAAAAGAAAGAAAATCCCCAAAAAGAAAATACTTTCATCATCATTCAACACTTTCACCTCACTCACACATAATCACTGTTTTTGCAGAGGTGCTCAGAATACAACAGTTTAGATGCATATATGTATAAAGATACACAACATATCCCTCCAAACTGCCAATATCCCGAACCCTTCCTTTAGAGTGCAGGCACTGTACTTCCCATTTCCAGGACTCAAGTCCGGCTTTATAAAAATACAGTGGACCCCCGCCTTACGATGACATCGTGTTACGTTAAATCCACCATACGATACATTTGAATGCAAAAATTTTGCCTCGCCTCACATGATTCGGGACACGTCCCACGTGTGGCCTCAGCTTCAGTGTTTACAAGCCAGCCAGTGCGGTCACATCCATGCATACATTCGGTACATTTCACCTTATCCCAGTGTTTTTTGTGCTTGTAACTGCAAAATAAGTCACCATGGGCCCCAAGAAAACTTCTAGTGCCAACCCTGTGGTAAAAAAGGTGAGAATTAGTATGGAAATTAAGAAAGATTTTGAAGGGTTTGGGGCTAACCCTGAGAAGCCTATGCCAGTTGTGGAATCCATTATGCCTACTTCAAAGATTAAGGAAATGTGCGCAAAGTGGATTGAACTGCAAACCTTTATGGATGAAAAGCACCCTAACACAGCTATTGCAAGCCGTGCTAGTGACTATTACAATGACAATGTTGTAGCCCATTTTAGGCAAATCTTAAAGGAACGGGAGGTACAGAGCTCTATGGACAGATTTGTTGTGCGACAGAGGTCCAGTGACTCTCAAGCTTGTCTTAGTGGCATTAAAAGAAGAAGGGAAGTAACCTCAGAAAAGGACTTGATACCTCAAGTCCTAATGGAAGGGGATTCCCCTTCTAAAAAATAACAACTTCGACACTCTCCCCTCCTCCCATCCCATCAATCATCACCAGATCTTCAATAAAGGTAAGTTTCATGTACAGTGGACCCCCGGTTCGCAAAGCCATCGGTATCCGATAAATCCGGTATCTGAAGCATTATATCGCAAAAAAATTACCTCGGTTCCCGTTGCAAAACCTGGTATGTGATACGATTCGTACGAGACGTGTCCAGTGTTTACAAGCCAGCCAATGTATCAATGTACCAATGTATCCAAGGATACATTCGGTACATTTTATATTATCCATATTATCGCTGTTTTTGGTGCTTGTTTCTGCAAAATAAGTCACCATGGGCCCCAAGAAAGCTTCTAGTGCCAACCCATCGAGACCAAGGGTGCTAATGACTATTGAAATTAAGGAAATGTATGCAAAGTGGCTTGAAGTGCAAACCTTTTTTAATGAAAATCACCCTGACACAGCTACTGCAAGCCATGTTGGCAACCTGTACACTGACAATGTTGTGAACCACTGTTGAAAGGTCATAAAGGAACGAGAGGTACAATCCTCTATGAACAGATATGTTGTGCGACAGAAGTCCAGTGACTCTCAAGCTGGTCCTAGTGGCATTAACCCTTTCAGAGTCCAAGGCCAAAATCTGAAGTGGTGCCCCAGTGTCCAAGAATTTAAAAAAAAAAAAATTGTTATTTTTTCTTATGAAATGGTAGAGAATCTTTTTGTGAATATAATAAAACAAAAAGTACGAAATTTGATGGGAAATTGATGAAATTATGCTCTCTTGATTTTTGATGTGTCAGCGATATTTACGAATCGGCGATTTTGCCAACTTTGACTCCCATTTTAGGCCAATTACATTATTTCAGTCGACCAAATTCTTAGTTATTTCACTAGGATTACTTCTATTCTATCGATTGAGCACAAGAAATCGCCAAGTCAACTGTTTCAACTACAAAATAAAGTGACCGGAAATTGGTAATTTGGCCAATTTAACACAAAGTTCAAAATATTCCAATTTCAAAATAGGGTCCAGAATAAACAATGTAGGTATTCCTGGCACTAAACTAACATTTCCTCTGTTCATTAGTTACGTTTTGAGGCTTTACAAATAAATTCCATTTTGATTTTTTATTCACATAATGAATTTTTATTCACACCAAAAAATAGAAGATTTACTGTTATGCAATATTGTAATAATTGTATAAATATCATCACCACATTTATGAATGTATATTAGACCCACCAGCTGGCGTGTATTAGATGTGTGAGGTCGTTTGTTTACTCTTGAACATTGGCAAAAATTTAACATTTCTGCCACTTTGAGCTCAGTTTCAAGCCATTTGCAGTGCTAAAACCAACCAAAATTATCTCTATTTCTGTAATATGTCTTCCATTCTATCAAATGAGACCAAGAAATCACAAATACAACTATAAAAAACATACGAAAAAGCACTGCAAAGTCACTGTTTTAATCGAAAATCACGGTCTCAGTTTTTTTTCTCTCATTATACACAGTGTGCTGCAGGATTTGTTTTATGTGATGCACACATACCACATAGATGTATTCTCTCATATCTAGGCCCAAATTTACCACTCACAGTTTATCAGAGTGAGCTGAGCTCATGACTTAGATCTACGGTTTGGACCCTGAACGTAAAGCCGTAGATCTACGGGATGGACCCTGAAAGGGTTAAAAGAAGAAGGGAAGTAACCCCGGAAAAGGACTTGCTACCTCAAGTCCTAATGGAGGGGGATTCACCTTCTAAACATTAAAAACTTCAACACTCTCCCTTCCTCCCATCCCATCAATCATCACCAGATCTTCATTAAAGGTAAGTGTCAATTATTCTATTGTGATTATTCTATTGTTATTATTGTTATTGTAATTATTATATTGCATTAAACTTAATATATCATGTGGTAAAATTTTTTTTTCACACTTTTGGG